TAAGAACTGGCAATGTGTATCGTCGACATAGCAGCCAGTAGTAAAGTACATAGTCTAGGAGATGTAAACAGAGAAACTAGATATAAGATTCAACAACGTTGGTATAGAGAAATCCGACTGTGAGAAAGACTAGGAGTAATGATAAGTAGGAATCTTAATCCAAGACAACTATGTGCATTTGCTCGAAACAAGGCTAACAAAGTACTTGGGTTCATACAAGATTAGCGAGGTTATCCTAAAACTATATCTTGCGCTTGTGAGACCTCAGTTGGATTACGAGGTTCAGTTCTGGTCACCGTACTACAGAATGGATATCGAATCCCTAGCAAGAATTCAGGGGTGAATGATAAGACTAATCTCAGGCATTAGGAACTTTGATGACAGACACAAGTTAAAGTATCTTAATTTTCACTCCCTCGAGAGACGTAGAGTAAGGGAGCGATATGATCGAGGTGTATAAATGGAAGTCAGGGCTAAACAAAGGTGATATAACAAAGGTACTCAAACTATCCAACCAGGAGCGAATTCGTAACAATGGTTTTAAATTAGACAAATTAAGAATTAGGCGCGAGATAGGTAAACACTGGTTTGGAAATAGAGTAGTGGATGAGTGGAACAAGTTACCAAACATCATTAACTCGAGTACGCTGGATAGCTTCAAACTTGGGTGGATATATGAGCGATACGATTTGGGTGTAAACGGGATTGCCCAATATGGGCCAATAGGCCCGCTGCAGTTTCATCCATTCTTATGTTCTCATGAGAGAGAGAGAGAGAGAGAGAGAGAGAGAGAGAGAGAGAGACGGTGTAAGAGAAAGTAAAAAGGGGATAGTGTATGAGAAAGATAAAATGAGAGAGAGGGATATAGTGTCAGAAAATCGTTAAAAAAGAGAGAGAGACAGTGTATGAGAGAGAGAGAGAGAGAGATACAGTGAGGAAAAGAACAAAAGAACATAAAAATGGAGAAAACTGCAGCGGGTCTATTGGCCCATACTAGGCAGTCCCAATTACACCCAACCCCTATCGTCATTATATCCACCCAACCTATGTTTGAAGCTATCCAGCGTGTTCGAGTTTATGATGTTTGGTAACTTGTTCCACTCATCCACTACTCTGTTTCCAAACCAGTGTTTACCTATCTCGCGCCTAATTCTTAATTTGTCATATTTAAAACCATTGTTCATGGTTGAATAATTTAAGTACTTTTGTTATATCACCTTTGTTTAACCCTGACTTCTAATTATACACCTTCGTCATATCGCCGTTCACTCTATGTCCCTTGAGGGAGTGCAGATTAAGATGCTTTAACCTGTCTCTATACTCAAGGTTCCTAAAGCCTGGGATTAGTCTTGTCATCCTCCTCTGTACGTTTTCTAGCGATTCTACCTCCCCCTGTATATCCATTCCTTTGTACTGTGACCAGAACTGAACTACATAAGCCAAATGAGGTCTCACAAGCGCAAGGTATAGTTTTAGGACGACCTCGCTAGTCTTGTAACTAACACTCCTTTGTATGAACCCAAGTACTCGATGTGATTTCGAATTGAGTTTGAAATTTTGCTTCCAGCAATTTGCCTTCAATCGATGAGAAGGAAACCAATTTCACAATAATTTCTTTTTTACCTTCGAAACACATTCCCTCTCTCCCTCTCCTTCTTCCCGCCCTCCTTGCTTACTTCCTTCACTCTCTCCCGTACACCTTTTTCCCTCTTAATTTTATTTCCCTTTGTACTCCATTAACCTCTCCTACACACACACACACACACACACACATTCAGGTTTAGCTAAGGCAGTTTGTTTCATTTTTGGTAGAATAGGTTAATTTAGGATAGGTTAAGTTAGGTTTAGTTCGTCAACACACCGGCTGAAAGGGTACAGCGCTCGTCTCCTCTCCAAGTGTTCGTTGGTTTGCATCCATTTTTACCCAGGTGTTAATGGTTACCTTTACCTGAAAGCAGGAAAAGTGAAGTGCCGACCACGTGTACCGAAGGCCTAGCATACGAGGTGTTCTGTTTACTCTACGTTATCCCCTTAGGCTGCCAAGCTAATGGAACAATTTACAGGTTTTGTTGGTGAGTGTTAGGTTTAGTTTGGATAAGTTTGGTTTACTTAAGCGTTGACGAGGTTTAATTGAGGTAGATGAGGTCTAAACTAGGTTAGGTTAGGTTAGGAAAGATTAAGTTTTGTTAGGTTAGGTATAGTTAAGGCTGTAATATGATTGTAAAGTGAAGATATTTGTTAGCGTCGCCGAATAGTTAACATATAATCTTAGGGGAAATCTTCTAAACAACCATTTTAAGTATACAGCTCTTTATTAGTTACCTGAATGGCATGAACACAGTAATAGTTCATTATACTGGCGTTACTAGAGAATGACTCCCGAACACAAACATGAAATAGATACACTTCCCACCATAAGTAACTCTCCCTATGGATCGCTCTGACAATGACTCACGTGTGACCTGTGGGAGGCCTAGCGGCTGGGGAGTCGGTTTGCAGGTGTTGCTGAAGAGAGTTGTCCCGGCGGGTAATGGAATCTGTCTCCTGTGAGAGACTCTGCTAGCTGGAGACTCTGTGCTGGGAAAGGAAGTCCCCCTCCCAATTCCGACTTGTGATGACTGTGACTCCGTCTGCTTCTGAGTTCTGCCTCTCCATGTCTGACTGATGGAAGGAGCTGTAAGCCCCTTATATTGGAGGTGTCAGGCCGACATAATTATCACTAATCTAGGAGTGTGTAGACAGCTATGTTTGAACAGGTGCATGGTACTGGCTGCAGGGTAGTTTCTTGAATTAACTGATGACACATATAGACAGTGATCATTTGTAATATAATGTGCAGCATCTAGAATAACTCCTGAGGCGAAAAGTAGCCTCACATTTTACAAGCAATAACCTAATAGTTACTGATATGTATGTTTTTCTACTGGCTTGGTTTGGTCTGAAAAAACTCACTATAGTTAGGTTAGGTTAGTTTACGTTAGGTTAGGTTAGGCTATGTTAGGTTAGGTTAGGTTAGGTTAGGTTAGATTAAGTTTAGTTAGGTTATGTTAGGTTAGGTTAGATAGGAAAGATTGGCTTTAGTTAGCTTAGGTTAGGTATATTTAGGGTTTGTTCGCTTTACTCCGGTTATGTTAGTTTTAGTAAGGTTAGGTTAGGGTTAGTTAGTGTTGGTTAGCTTAAGTTAGCTTAGGTTAAGTATAATTAGGTTAGGTTAGATTTAGTTAGCTTAGGTTAGGTATAATTAGGTTAGATTAGGTACAGTTAGGGTTGGTTAGTTTTAGTTAGGTTAGGTTCGGGTTAGTTAGAGTTAATCTTGTTTAGAGTGTTGGTTTAGTTACTTGAGGTTTAGAATAAGTCATAGCTTGAGTTTCGTTAGTGTGACAATGGTACTCATAGACCTGGCGATCTTTTACATCCGTTTGGTTATAACATTATTGATTACTAAGACTTTTCCGTGAAGACCAGAAGTAAACAAACACGTGAAGACCTGAAGTAAACAAACATACATGAATACCTTAAGTAAACAAACACGTGAAGACCTGAAGTAAACTAACACGTGAAGACCTGAAGTAAACAAACACGTGAAGACCTGAAGTAAACAAACACGTGAAGACCTGAAGTAAACAAACATACATGAATACCTTAAGTAAACAAACACGTGAAGACCTTAAGTAAAAAAAACATGAAGACCTGAAGTAAACAAACACGTGAAGACCTGAAGTAAACAAACACGTGAAGAGGTCAGATAACTGAAATTTTTGGGGGGTCGTGGGGTTTATTTTCAGTATATTGGTGGAAACTTATATGACTGATCACTAAAATATATTGAGCCGTCGCCTCTGTGGTACTTTATGTCAGAAGAATTGCCTTTTGTCCACGTGATTTCATTATTACCAGCCATTATCGCGCACCTTGTTATCACCTGTTAAGTAAGTTGGTCGGTAAAAACGATCGACTGTCAAATCAGATACATCAGGAAATGAATGAATCGAGATGGGCCAAATAATACATTAGTGAGGAAGTAGCCAATCATTGCTCACATTTATCTCTGACGTCACTGGATGAACGACCAATCACCGAGCGTCCTCACCCTCTCAGCTGAGGTTTGGCCTCTGTCAGGGAGACGTTGTTTACCCCGACACCCCCTCTCACCCCTGGGATTTTCTCTGTCTGTAAGAAAATCCTCCAGTCATTTTCCACTACAGAGTCCATGATGAAATGTCTCAGGTGTGGAGTTTGGGCAGCTCACCGCCATACTCCAGCAGCAGGGACCAAGCTGTCTCATGGTTAGTTAGTGTATCATGTTAATTATTGCACTGATTTTTATTATTGGTTAATGAAAATGACACTGATAGTAAACTCAATATATTCAATGCTGGAATTATAGAAAAAATATATTGCTGTGTCATTTCAGTTGCCAGCGTCATTTAGATTTTTCCAGATATCCTCATATTATCCTATGTAAGACCTTAGGGTTGTTAACCTCTCGGACACATTTCTTTGATATTTGATCCCGGAGAAAGTGTCAGGCTTCACCGAGTAGATCATAGTTACCGTGAGAGGGACTCTTCCTCCCCTGGAAAATGCCACAAGTTTATCTTATTGACAGGGTGTCTGTAATTTATTCACCTGATTTGTAACACAACAAAAATTATACCATAAAAGGGTTTGGTGCAATTAATAAAGCAACTCAGGTAATCTTTTGACCTGTATTTGGCAGGACTGCGACTGGCGTGAATTGTGACAGTGCAGCAATTTTTGAATATTGTCGTTTTCAGCGATATTGTCGTTTTCAGCGATGAATCGACATTCCACCTGTCTGGTAAAGTCAACAGGCACAATTGCGGCGTATGGGGATCAGAAAATCCTCATTTATTTCTTGAACACGAGCGTGACAGTCCCCAAATAAAGGTTTGGTGCGCACTCTCCTACAACCGTGTGATTGGACCATTTTGCTTCCTTGAGAACACTGTTAACTCTGCCACTCACATACCCTGTAGATATGCTTGAATTTTATGCTGTACCTCAGCTGGAAGATATGCAGCCCCAGGTGTTCTTTCAGCAAAATGGAGCACCGCCACACTGGAGCTTACAAGTGTGCGATTTCCTCAATGAAAACTTCCCTACTTGTTGGATCTGGCGTGATGGACCCATTCCGTGGCCACTTCACTCCCCGGACATCACGCCTATGGATTCATAACACCTAGAATGAAATTAGCTGCCGTCTTGATATTTTACGTGCTACCAAAGAGGCGCAGGTGGAGGCTTGCTGAAGTGTAGTTATGTGTGACAAATACAGATCAAAAGATTACTTGGGTTGCTTTATTAATTGCACCAAACCGTTTTATGATATATTTTACAGAAAAATCTTCATGAGCTTCATGATAAGGTGAATAAGTTATAGGCACCCTGTATACTACAACACTAACGTCTTCCTTCTCTCCAGCAGCAATAATAACATGAAGTATATCTCTAATATTTACGCTCTTACTTATCCCTAAAATGCTCAGATTTTCATATACAAAAGTTCCTGGAGTTAATAACAATAATCTCCAGAACGACAATTTTCGCCGTAAATCTCTAGTCTAGTTTGGGCTAAAATATTGCAAAGAATACCTGATTTTTTTTTAATATACTTGAATATTTACAATGTCATCAGTTCCCCTGGTGAGTGTAGGAGTAGTTCCGGCTTCCTGTTCGTGTCTTAAGACTCCGGCATTCATAACATGTCCGACTGTCACAGGTCAGTTCCTGGGTGTCACTTCCTGTCGTGAAGGAGACGAGTGAAGTAATGACAGGCGCCGCTCGAGGTCCTTTAGGGAAGGTTTAGGTTTAGGGGGAAAAGAGTAAAAGTTTGAGAAGAAATATAGGAGAGCAATTGTTATGACAGAGACCTGATCTTTAGAGAGGAACATATTGATACTTATTGTATTAGGTTAATATTCTTATAATAGTCACTGTGCGGAGATTAGCATAACTGTTACTACACAATTTACTCTGGTAATGACATTACTAAATTAACATTTTGAACCAAAATCTAAAACAACAAAAGAGCTTTCAAAAGGTAAGTGTTTGGGAAATGACGCCACGTTGTGACTGTGGATAGATACTCAGAGAGAGACAATTAAATGGCAGCTGACAGTAAGTGTTAAGAAAGAAGGAATCAAATCTAGTGAGTTGGAACGTAGAAAGACTTCAGAAAGGAAATAGCTAAAGGAACAATGGAAGATGAAACTGATGCTTCCGTTATAAGAACATAAGAACATAAGAATGGAGGAAACTGCAGCGGGCCTATTGGCCCAAACTGGGCAGTCCGTTTACACCCAACCCCTATTGCTCATATGAGCATCCAACCTATGTTTGAAGCAATTCAGCGTATTCGAGTTAATGATGATATTTGGTAACTTGTTCCATTCATCCACTACTCTGTTTCCAAACCAGTGTTTACCTATTTCACGCCTAAATCTAAATTTGTCTAATTTAAAATCATTGTTACGAGTTCGCTCCTGGTTGGATAGTTTGAGTACCTTTGTAATGTCCCCTTTGTTTAGCCCTGACTTCCACTTATACACCTCTATCAGGTCGCCCCTCGCTCTACGTCTCTCGAGGAGTGCAAATTAAGATGCTTTAACCTGTCTCTATACTCAAGGTTCCTAATGCCCGGGATTAGTCTTGTCATTCTCCTCTGAATTCTTTCCAAGGATTCTATATCCATTCTGTAATACGGTGACCAGAACTGAACTGCGTAATCCAGGTGTGGTCTCACAAGAGCAAGATACAGTTTTAGGATGACCTCGCTAGTCTTGTAACTAACACTCCTTTGTATGAACCCAAGTACTTTATTAGCCTTGTTACGAGCAAAAACACATTGTTTACTTGGCTTAAGGTTCCTACTTATCATTACTCCTAAATCTCTCTCGCAGTCGGATTTCTCTATGGCATCGTTGTTCATCTGGTATCTGGTTTCCCTGTTTACATCTCCTATACTGAGTACTTTACATTTGTCGACATTGAATTTCATCTGCCATTTTTCAGACCATTCGAAAAATTTGTTTAGATCTTCCTGTAGTTTTGCCGAGTCCTCGTCAGATTTGATAACACGTCCTATTTTAGTGTCATCAGCAAATTTACTTATGTTGCTGTCTATGCCGATATCTATGTCGTTTATGTATATATAAATAATAATGGTCCAAGTACTGAGCCTTGGGGAACTCCGCTTGCGACGTTGCTCCAATGGGACTTAGTGCCGTTAATGCTCACTCGCTGTTTCCTGTCCTGTAACCACGCCCTAATCCATTTAAGGATGTTACCTTTGATGCCATGTGCTTCTACCTTTCTAATTAGTCTTTCGTAGGGGACTCTGTCGAAGGCTTTGCTAAAGTCGAGATATACCACATCATAATTGTGCCCCTCGTCCACTGATTCGAAAACTGATGAAAAGAATGTTAATAGATTAGTTAGACAGAACGTCGCTTGTGAAGCCATGCTGGGAATCATTGATCAATCGGTGCTTCTCCAGGTGATTTCGAATAGAGGGAAATGATTGCTTCCCAGTAATTTGCCTACTATTGATGTTAGACTGATTGGGCGGTAGTTAGAGGATAGTGATCTATCCCCCTTCTTGAAAATCGGTATTACATTCGCTATCCTCCAGGATTCTGGTACTACACCTGTTTTTAAGGACATGTTAAACAACTTTGCTAAGGGCATACTAAGCTCTTCCTTACATTCCTTTAATACTCTGGCAAATATCTCATCAGGACCAGGTGACTTATTAGGCTTTAGTTTGTCTATTTGCTTACTAACATAATTCGTTTTTTCGTTGTTTTACTTTTATTGTTTGCAAATTTGGTGAGTCTCTCGGTAGGTCAAGATGGTCTCGTTAGCTGGCGCCCGTCTCTGCTTACTGAACACTCTGAGACCTTTACTTAATGGCCACTACAAGGGAATTTACAAGTCAATCCTGGGCAAATTTTCCGTAGAGAAATGATTTATTAATTTTTACGTACGCCTATTATCTCAAAGTAGATATCAGAGGCGAAGATTAACAGAAAACTAGTCGGTGAGGAATCCGTAGCGAGAGTTGGCAGGAAACGCAGGAAAATTGGGTGGAAGATCACGAGGGGTTATTGACAGTCCAAGCAAGGCAACACTGGTAGGATGAAATCTCCTCGAGTCAGTAAGTCAGTCAGGAAAGGCGGTTTAACCATTGACTACCACATCACCGTAAGGAAACTTCATCTTCAGTAGTAATAGTAGTAGTAGTAGTAGTAGTAGTAGTGATCTTGAACTGAGATTAGTAAGAGTAACAGATCATGAATGGTGTTATCATTATTTACATTATATATCTTCATCATGTTCATGTTCTTACTTAAAGCTCTTCATTATAGGCGGAAAGTTTCTTCCTGTCAAAATAAGCCATAAAACTCAACAGAAAACCACAACCGAGCTATTCATCTTTTGGTTGGCCCTCACTCGTCAGAAGAAACAGTTTTAGAAGTTTACGGCGGAGAGATTGATGGACGTGACGTGAAATACACACAAGTTTAACACATACACATATAGAAGGAAATCCACACACACTTTTACTGAATGATGAGTGCACTCTGGCTAATGGAGAGACACACAGCTTGTAAAGTAGGTCTACACACACACACACACACACACACACACACACACACACACACACACACACACACACACACACACAAACTGATTCATTCATACCTATTGTATGTTTACGAAACCAACTTGTACATATGTTTCTATATATAAATGTGAATAAAACTAGAATGATCCTCACACGTTAGAGCAGTAGGACTATATGTCTACTCACGTGTATACAGCCTGTAGCTCTGTAAGTGTAGAGTGTGCAGGCAGACACTTCTTAACCCCTTCACTACGGGGACGACACTTTTAATAATTTATTAGGATAACACCAGACGATTTAACTCCATTTTGTGTTCATGTCTGTTGAACTCCATACGATACTAAACAAGATTCAGTGCAACTCTCCCCGTGTGTACTGCTGTGTAAGGTGAGTCACTGTGTTGCGTCTCTGACTACTGTCTGAGTATACACAAAATAATAGACAAACAGATAGAGAAATAACCAGAAAATGATTTACATGTGAGGTTCTGGTGTTTATGTGTATCTTGTCTAAAGAATAATTGTAGGTCGTGTACAGTGAAGGATATTTATTAGTGGAGATAATGAAGCTGGAAGTCTTAGTTGACATAACCCTTTGTTCTCAGTAAACATGTGTTCTCTATTATATATTTTCATGCAAGAATATAAACTAAATATAATTGGAATTTTTAGCTGTTGTTTTTTAGTTCAGTATTTGTAGGTTAGTTGTGGCTCCGTATAATAGTTTTATAACCAGTAACGATATTAACTTAGAATCGCATGTGGTTGTATTTATTATATACAAATCAGTGCAAGAGGTTACAGTTCAAGAATATCGTATTACAGAAATATTATTATCGTCTTATATGGTAGAATTAATCATATGAACATGAATAATAGACTTGACTCTTAAAAATTCTTAAGTAAATTTTCCCTTTAACTGGGAACGGAAGAATGAGAGGTAGTTGACTGTCAAAGTGGCGTCGAAAATGCACTGAGGCTCTACCGTATCTAGATAACTACAGTGATTTACACTTCTGTACCATCGACATCGACGGAGGAGGGAAGAGAAGAGAGAGAGAAGAATGAGGATGAGGAAAGAGGAAGGAGGAGAGGAGAGAGGAGGGCAGAGAGGGAGGAGGAGGAAAAGGAAGAGGAGGGAGAAGGGAAGAGGAGGAGGAAGGGGAAGGGGAAAGAGGAGAAGAATTTTAGTTTAACAAATTTATTGACAAAGCTTGTAGTTCAGTTTGCCTATTGTGAGTAATTCAGTCGGGTCTTGACACTGAGGGTGGTATCAGTTCTCACTGCCACGCAGGACAGAGGTTCATACACTATATACTGTTAATGAATATGATCTATTCCTTTTGAGAGAAGAAGAGAGAGGATGAAAGGAGAGAGGAGAGAGAGAGGAGGAGGAAGGGGGAGAGGAGGCGGGATAGATGGCAATGAGTGAGACAGTTAGTGGGGCAGGTTGAGGGAGGCAGGAGACGGGCGTTGCCTAAGTTAATTATAGAGAGCCGCCACTCAAACATTCCTAGACGGAGACCGCTTAACACGCCGACACCAAAGAGA